CTACTTAAAAATATGTTTGAGGGTGATCAGATGGATGAAAGGACTCACTGATACTTAGCGCACTGTGCACCTCCACATGAAATCGCATCATGCAAAGCTGCCTGCTGAGTTGTGACTCTCTCACGGGGGAAAGAATGGAAGAAAACCTAGGGCTGGAGAAATCTTACTCTCAGAATGAAAATGACATTCAAAGCTTGAAACCAGCAACTGCTCCCCTTGCAAAAATTAATTTTCTTTAGCTTCTTTCTTCTACTGAGAAAAAAAAAAATTGTTCTTGAACAGCCAAAAGGATATGGATTTCACTGCCCAAGGAACACAAAAAAATGAGAAAAGATTAAACCATATGTCTTTAAGTGAGGAGAGGGGGTGTCAGCTATGTCTATATCTCTCAGGAAAAAGCAGTAAAAGAAAAGTCTCGCCTACAAAAAGCAAATGTAGAAGAGACACATTTTTCATAGCCAGTATAAAGACACATGACTTAAATATAGGGCATATTTATATTTTAAATGCAAACTCTCCTAGACCATGGATTATTGCACATGAGACAAACCAATACTGTCTCAAAAATGAACTGAGAACTTTTGCTTCTGAGAATAATGTGGTAGATCAAGGAAAGACAAAACCTCCATCATAACAATTAGGAAAAGTGGGATATATTACAAAAAATCATTTTAAAAGTATCAAGGGCATGTGAAAGCAGAGGAAAAGAAAAGTATTATTAAACTTCCAGCTGCTTTTGTTGTTGTTGTTGTTGAAGAAGATTTGCCCCGAGCTGACATCTGTTGCCAATTTCCTCTTTTTGCTTGAGGAAGATTCACCCTGAGCTAACATTGTGCCAATCTTCCTCTATTTTGTATGTGGGTCATCGCCACAGCATGGCTGCTGGTGAGTGGTGTAGGTCTGAACCCAGAAACTGAACCCAGGCTGCTGAAGCAGAGTGTGCCAAACTTAACCACTAGGTCACAGGACCAACCTCTCAGCGGCATCTTTTCACTTAAATTGACAAGCTGATCTTAAAATTTGTATGGAAATGCAAAGGACCCAGATATAATTCTATACACTTATGGTCAATTGATTTTCACCAAGTGCACCACGACAATTGAGTGAGGAGATAATAGTCCTTCCAACAAATGGTGCTGGGAAACTGGATATTCACATGCAAAAGCATGACGCTGGACCTCTAACTCACACTATACACTAAAATTAACTCAAAGTGGATCACAGACTCACATGTAAGAGCTAAAACAACAAAATTCTTAGAAGAAAAATAGGAGTAAATCTTCATAACTTTGGGTTAGGAAATAGTTTCTTAGATATAACATCAAAATCATAAGTGACTAAGGAATAAAGAGAGAAAATAAACTACATCAAAATTAAAAGACTTCATGCTTAAAATATTGCCATCAAAAACTTGAAAGTACAATCCACAGAATGAGAGAAATATTTGCAAGTAATATATGATAAGGGACCTGTAGCCAGAACATGTAAAGAACACTTATAATTCAACAATAAAAAAATAACCCAATTTAAAAATGGACAAAAGATTTGAACAGACATTTCTCTAAAGAAGATACACAAATGGCCAAAAAGCTCAACATCATTTGTCATTAGAGAAATGCAAGTCAAAACCACAATTAGCTGCCACTTCACATCTGCTAGGTTGGCTATAATCAGAAAGACAGAAAATAGCAAGTGTTTGAAAGGATATGGAGAAAGTGGAACTCTGACACATTGTTGATGGAGTGTAAAGTGGTGAAGCCACCTTGGAAAATAGTCAGTTCCTCAAAAGATATACATAGAGTGATGATATGACCCTGCAATTCCACTTCTAGTATATATCCAAGAGAAATGAAAACAAATATCCTCACAAAAATGTGTGTACAAATATTCTAAGTAGGATTATTCATAATAGCCAAAAGTGGAAATAATCCAAATGGCCATCAACTGATGAATGAATAAATAAAATGTGGTCTATCCATACAATGAAATATTACTTAGCCATAAAAAGAAATGGAGGACTGATAAATGCTACAACACGGATGATCTTTGAAAACACCATGCTAAATGAGAGAAGCCATTTACAAAAGGCCACGCATTGTACACTCCTAATTATATAACATCCCCACAATTTGTTGTTTCCAGGAATTAGGGTGAACAGAGGATGGGAGTGATTGCTAATGTGTAAGAGGGTTCTTTAGTGGGTGATAAAAATATTCTGGAATTATTGCACTGATATTTACACAACTTTGAGAATATACTAAACACTATTTAATTGTGCCAATTAAAACTTATTCTTATGGTTTGTGAATCTCATTTAAAAAAAATCAAGAGCAGTCTAAATTATCTAGTTTTTCCATAGCAGAGCAATACACCTGATGCGTTGCTGAGACATGTTGGACAGAGACGTGAGATTTGAAGCTTCACAGCATGGTGATCTGTGGGTCTCAGAAAGCGCACGTTCTCCAGCTACCTTAAAATTACTCTTCTGTTGATTTCAGTGTGTTTCTCCTTTCTTCTTTTCTTCCCATTCATACCTTTGTCCTCTACTGTATAAACGAGTCATTTCCAGCATAAATTTTAACTCTACGTTTCCACATTGTAGACATTATGATTTTCAACATGTTCAATGACTAAGTCCAGAAGTAAATGTTATCCAAGGCAATGTTTTTCCAAGTGTATCAAAATTGCTGGGGGAGAGAGTCTTTCAGAAATGCAGATTCCAGGACTGTACATCCAAACAGGGAATCTGCCTTTGTTAGAAGCATCCCAGGAGACTCTTAGGCACAACCAACATTTGAGAACTCCACTTCTAGAAATTGAGCAATTCTTGCTGTGGATCCTTTGCTTGTTCACTCAATGATGATGATGATGGCCCAGAATAACCATTCCTGGACCTCTGAATTTATCATTGATTCTGTCTCCTTTGTAACTGTGCTTTTCTCCCACCTATTACTGACCATCTGGATGCTCCAGTGCCAGGGGACATACACAAAGCAATCCTTCCCTTCCAGGTACTCCATGTGGGAGGCCTGGTAATTATCTCCATTTAGGAGCAAAGTTTCTTACGTCGAACTTCCCCTTTCAGATACAGACTCACTCAAGGATCTGAAGGTGAGCAGGAGTTTGCTTTAATGACTACCATCTCCTCTCCTCACACATCTGTGACTCTATTTCTACAAGTCAGTGATTCTCTAAGCATGGTTGCCAGACCTGGAAATCAGCATCGCCTGGGAACACATAGAAATGCAGATTCTTGAGCCCCCGGACTGAATCAGGAATTCTGGGATGGAGTCCAGCAATCTGTGTTTTAACAAGTCCTCCAGGTGATTTGGGTGCATGTTAAAGCTTGAAAACCACTGCTCAAGACATCCATGAGATAGCAGTTTATGCTTCTGCTGTGTAACTCAGAGCCAATCAGAGAGCATATTTATATTTTAAATGCAAACTCTCCTAGACCATGGATTATTGCACATGAGACAAACCAATACTGTCTCAAAAATGAACTGAGAACTTTTGCTTCTGAGAATAATGTGGTAGATCAAGGAAAGACAAAACCTCCATCATAACAATTAGGAAAAGTGGGAACCTTTAGAAGGGGTGCAGAGGACCTGGAGGTGATGTTGAGTTGGAACACAGAAGCCACCTTTAGGTCAAATAACTATAGCAACATAGGAAGTGTTAGTAGCAGGGGACTTCAGGGATCATAGCCCTTGAGTCTCTTTCTGCTGATTCCCACCGACCCCTTCTGTCTCCTCTGTGTCCACAGATTTTCTTTCTGTTGAATAGCCACCTGTTGGGGTACATATGTCTCTATTTGGAACATTACTCCTCTCACAAGGCAGCAACTATCTCTCTTGAGTCTTCCAAAATACGAATGTGTACATAGTGCAATTTCATTACCCGGAGCCAAATAAGAGCATAATTCATGAAAAGGACAAGGAGCTTGGCTTCAGTCCCAGACACTTAATTCACCACAAATATTTATTTGTTCTATGAATACAGTATTACAGTAGATCTTGTTAACAACTGCCCTAACATGCTCATTAGGGTATTTTGATTTATTTTTATTTTTACATGTCTGTGTCCTGCAGTGGCCTACTAACCCTTCTCCTGGCTCTCACTTGCCTCCTTCCAATCTACTTGCTACGCAGAAACCTCAAGTTTCTTTCCAAAAGAACATCTTATTGTATTACTTACTTCCTTAAAACTACCCAATGGCTTCCAATGCACTTGAGATAAAATCTAAATTTCTTTCTGTAGCCTGCAAGTGTCTTCATGATTTGGCCCCATGTGCTTTCCTACCTCCACCACCACTGTTTTCCGCTTCTGAGCTCAGTGGGCTCTGGTCCTCAAAGTGCTGCTTGTCTTGCACAAGTCAGTTTGTTTCTCACCGTGGGGCCTTTGCACCCATTGTTCTCTTACTCAGAGGGATCTTCTTATTTTCACATGGCTGGCCCCTCTTTTGGTCGTTCAAGTCTCAAGTCAAATATTACCTTCTCGAGGAAACATGAGCAACTACCCTACATCAGCAATCCCTGCACCATCACTGCATTACTCCCTTTCAGGCAGCACTTTCAACTAGCTGAGCAAGTTTGTCTGTCTTTCTATCCATCTATCTATCTATCCATCCACTCACTCTTTGTGTGTTGTTAAGTACTTTTTTCTTCCCTGACTTCTTTCAGTTTGAATCTAAGTTCCATGAAAATGGGGATTTTCTGCCATGTTCACTCCTGTATTCCAAGACATAATAGAATAATAAATATTGTCTAAATATATAAGTGAATAAATGCATATCTCACATAGAATATTATGAAGAATAGTAGTACGTAAATTTCTTTTAAAAAATGGCTAATTAGTCATTTATAATACTCTAGAAAAGTAACCAAAATCATTAGGTAGTATCATGTTACAAAATCTGCATCAGTTAGGGGAAGTCTAGGCATATTTTCAATAAAGAATATTGGAGTGCAAAGGGGTATTAAAAGTTTATTTAGTCATACCTTTTTCTCAAGGCAGGAATGCTCATCAACAATCAAACAGAAAAACATTTTTTCTCTTTGAGCAAAGGCATTGACTTCTTCCTTTCATCCACAGTGAAGCCTTGGGGACCTGGAATGTAGCATGAGAGCACAATTCAAGTTCAGACCACCCTACCAAAAAATGTCTTCATGGAAGGCTGTTTTGCAAACCACATTTATATTCTCTAATAAATAAACGTAACCCAACAAGCAGGTGGATTTGCTTGGCTTACAAGCGGGAATATCCTTAAAGTAAAGGAAGAAAATGAAGAGAATTTCCAAGGGCAATTTTCGTTTTAAAAATCTGTGTCAGAGTTGAGTGGTTTGAGGGAAAAGTTTCGAGAACTCAAGAGATAGAACTGTATGAGTCACCCAGGCCAAATCTGCACCCAAAGCAGACGCATCACCCCCTGTAACATCCGTGACAGCTTTTTCTTGATCATTTCCAGCCCATTACTTCATAAGAAAACCCATTCTGCAATTGAAAAATCTGAATTATTGGGTAATTCTTTCCAATCATGTGCTTAAATCTGCCTTTCTAAAACTTCCGCTGTGCATCTGCCTTACAGACCAACACAAAATGTGTCTGTTCCCTTTACCACATGGCATTCCTTCAAATATGGAGTCATGTCATTTCTTCCTTTTTTCTCTTTAGAGGCTAAGCTTTCGCATTGTCTTCAGTTGTTTCCTTTATGAATTGTTTCCAAGTCCCTGATCATTCTGGTTGTTTTCCTTTGTACCTGCTCCAATTGATCAGTGTCCTTCCTAAGATGTAGGCTCCAGAGGTATGACTTTGTTTGATGGTTCTTTATCAGCAGACCTTCTTACAAGGTTCTGGCTCAGAAAGAGATTTCCAGGAGCAAATGGCAGTTGAACCTGAGAGCAGTTTCTTGCACCTCTTGCTTCTTTCCAGGTACAATTGCAGATGCTAACTCACAAGTCTCCCTGGTTTGGGTGCTAATTATCCTACCTATCTTTTTTTTTCCTTCTAAACAATATCCCCGCTTTAATACAGGGTGGAATGTAATGCTGCAAACACCAGAATTGTGGCTTTCAATGGCCAAATGTATTTTCTGCCAAGATCTTGGGAATTCCCTTCCTCTCCTGTTCTAACAAGTACTGACTTTCTGACTTATGAGACATTCACTAAGGTTTATGGTTTTCAGTATTCATCCCAAATTATTAGATAATCTAATCTATCTAGGTCTTTCCTGCCTTACTTTACACCTGCTATTGGCAAGTAGAATGGAAAATAGTGTGAAACTAAGGCTGCAACATTCCTGATGCAGGAACATACTGTGATTATCGCACTTCAAGATCTAAGGCATTTATAATCCTGATCATTTTTGCACGTCTTTAGCACGCCACTGTCTATCCACACAGGATGCAATCAATAAACATATGTCCAACGAAGGAAGTGGCTGGTATTATACATCTTCCTCTAGGTCTCCCGTATACACCTCGATGCGCAGGCTATTCAAGATCTATCACTGACCAAATGGACCAATTCTCTGCTTTGCCCATCAAATCCCTGGAGGGACTGAGCAGAGAGCCATTATGAAAAAGTCATATCTTTTTCCTCTTTGAAGTCTGCCTTCCCTGTTTCTGGGCCTCGGTCTTCCCTTCCTGAGATTCAGTGCCTTCAGTGGTTGTATTTTCAGTTGTCCACGGCCCTTGCTATAAGAGCCCACTCAGACTTGCATTCTACAGCATTACCCACCGTCCCCTCCAAAAAACAAACAAAAAACTCCCAACTCACACCTTCCTGTGCTTCTTACTTTCAGGGCCCCAAAATATATCTGGAAAACTAATCCAAGAAATCTAGTTGTGTTAAGATAGGAATAATACTGATAGCTTGTTCACCTAGTGGTTAAGCATACTAGTGTTCAGAGCCAAAATGCCTAAGTTTGAAAGCCAGCTCTCCCACCCACTAGTGAAACCATGGACAAATTATTCACCCCTGCTGAGCCCCTGTTTTCTTATCTGTAAAATAGTGTTTATAATATTTCCTTCATAGGGTTGTTCGTAGTATTAAACCAGTGTAAAATTCTTTAAAAACTATCTGGCACATAATACATGCTCAGTAAACGTGAGCTATTACTCCTTTCAGTCAATACTACCAGTTAGACACTTTAGAGGTCTTCGTTTGGATGAGTAACGGTAACTACTACTTTGGAAGAAATTTGGAATCCAGAAAAACATTCTGGTGCCCTTTGAGCTACATTAATTAGGTATTTAACTATCATTTAGGAATAAAGAAAACCCAGATGACCAAAAATGCTGTGATTTCCCTGAATACAAGCAAGGGCACTAAAGCAGTGGTGTTCAAAGTGTTGTGTGTATCCCTGCGGAATGTGAAGGCTTTCTGAGGCATGTGCAGACACAGATGGCTTTAAGGGACTAAATTTTTGGGTCCACAGCTTCCAGAAAATGCCTGAGAAGATGCTTGAGATAAAGCATAGGTTTTTCTTCCCCAACTGCCTCTTCACAATAACTATTATCCTACTTTACAAAACAAAGGACCAGCTCCCACCTGTCCTAAAGGTGTTCTGGTTCCTTGCTCAAGAATGTAACAACCTATTTGGTGACAAAAAAGGGGACACTTAAAAATACTGATGTTGGTGCTGAGAAGACAAATGACCGTTATTTGGAGATTCTTTGCAAGTCAGGTGGTTTTCAGCAGTTTGACTTCAATAAATTTGAATACATTTATTTTTGTTTATTTATTTATTTATAAATTTCAATAAATCTGTCAGTTAACAGATCACTAAATAAATTATTATTCAATCTTCTAATGTGAGTGTTGGGATTTAACACAAAAGGAGGATGATGAATTGAGTAACATTTCTGTAACACTCCATTCCCACTCCCATCTACTTAATCACGTGAACAAGACTTCTCAGGGCTTATATGCATACAAATGAAAAATGAGTACAGTTGGTGAACTTTATCTCATTCTAGTAAGAAGATATTCATTCATGAACAGGATATCTGAAATAATTAGACAAAGTAAAAACATTCCCATTTATGTTTTTTAAGTTTAAAATTTTATCCAATTATGTTACATTCCACACGTTATATATTCATGTTTGATCCATTCTATACTAATAAATGGAATGGTAATGCAACCCAGGAAAATTTTAAAATAGTGAAATTTAAATTTATATACATATATTTGCTATAAAAAATGATAATCAATGAAAGACTTTCAAGGCTAAAATAGATTACCTTAGGATAAAATTCTGTGGGAATTAAACTTACAAAGAAAAATTTTATCTGGTAAAATCTTTTCAAAGTGTGAGAGGCAACTATGTAGGTTTAGATCATTTTACAAAAGTCTTTTAGAGATTATGTGAACAAAATCTTTGAAGACCATTGTACCAAAGCATCTTGTCTTTTCGTATATTAGGACCAGCATCTTTCATGCTGAGGCATGACAAGTGGCCAGCATTTGGGGTTGCTAGATTTTATAGGAGAAACTCCATCATGCTATTTTCATGTGTGTGTGTACTTCTTAAAGTGTGCTAAGTGAAAAGTCTCGTCTCCATGTCTTTTGTCTCTGCTGTGCTTTCTGGGGCTTAACTTCATTCCTTTAAGATTAGCTTCAGGTATAACTCATCACTAGAAACCTGGAAAAAAGACCTAGGTTCAAGTCCACATTTTTTGTACTCTTAGGGTTTCCACTGACCTTTTAGTCAAATCCCAGTTCTGCCATTTCCTAGCTCTGTTTCCTTGGATAAGTTACTTAACCTCTCTAAACCTGGCAGCTTCATGTGTAGAGCTAATGTTACAATGCTTAGCTCATGGGATCATGGTGAGGATTAAATGAGATCATAGATGCACAGTGCTGGACACCGCCTGGAATAGAGTAAGCACTATTGTTAACATTGTTATCCTAGTTTCACTGTGTGGAAATCTCAAAGAACTTCATACCTGCTTCATTTTCTCATTTTTATTCATGTCTCTAACCAGTTCCTAAGGAGTTTATCATTTATCTATTACCCTCTACCTCCCTAATAAAGGGCAATGGCATAAATGGATAGAAAGATAACGTACACTTGTTTATCAGATCCAAGTTATGTGATTTAAGATCAATAGTTATGGGACAAATTATACGGGCCAAATCTACTCAATCATGGTAGACACGACTAAAATCTTTCAGGTGACCTGATTTACTTCATTGAAACAATGGTCCTGAGATCATAGAATTGCCTAATGGGTAGCTCAGAAAGACTGACCTTTTTTTGGCATGTTTCACCATGTTTGCATAAAGCTGGCTATGATGTCTTTACTGGAGTAATGAGTTAAACAGTCAATATTATTAAGCTAACGTTCGTAGGAAAGAATTTGAATAGAATTTTTCAAAGCATTTTGTCTGGATGTGGGCTCTGTAACGATTCTTCAGAAATCTTCACTAAGTGCTAGGGTGTGGTGGGGATGGATTTGTCCCCCTGCAAATAGTTTTGTTTAGTTTTTAAAAATCATAATCACAAAATACACACAATGAATTTTAGGTGATATTAATCATTAATGCAGTTCAGAGAAACAGTGACAAAGGATTATTTTGTAGCAAAAATTAACCTCTAGCGTTGATCTCGAAAAGGATGTAGTCAAAACACTTCCCACTGGAAATTGCTCATTCCTTTCAACACTGTTTTCTTCCCCCATCCATCTAGTCAAATTACAGACATGTAAGTCATCCTTGACTCCGTGCCTTACTCTATCCAATTGTTCGTTAAGACCTAATGATTCATCCTTCTTAACACCTACTTACAGAAATCCCCATTTCCACTCTTTATCTCACTGCCTAAGTTTAGATCCTCACCTTCTCTCTGTCCTGAACTTCCTAAATGGTCTCCCTCCCAGAGAAAATGGTCTAAAATATAAACTTTAGTGCTTAAAAAACTTCAAAATCTCCTAACTGCATGCAGGATAAAGTCTAAACTCTTTAGTATTACACTTAACATCCTCTAAGATTGGGCCCATCTACCTTCCTAATCTCTTCCTCATCTCTCTCTTCCCTCACATCACTACTCCAGCTACCCTGAACTGCTTACACTCCCCAGACTCAAGTACTCTCGTCTCTATACA